AAGCTTTCCAGTCCATGCAAAGGTATGAGATAAAGTTAGCAATGGAGAATCTAACTACAGCAATGGCAAACTCAATCCATTCTCTTTCTATTTAATGAGATCAATAGAAAAAAAAAATATCTTAAATACCATCTTGCAAAAACATAGAGACATTTAATTAAATGAATATATTATAAAATTCACACATACACACAGAACCAGAGCTACACATCACAGCAAGAAACCAACATAAAATAGTGTGCAAAGCCAATGCATAGGAAGCACATGGACACACGGGGCAGCAGCTGATTTTTGCACCTGGTAAAGCCATAATGGAAAGATCAGCAGGTCAGAAGCAAAGTGACTAAAGGCGTATGATCTGGACATGCAATGAGGACACTGGAGGAGGTAAGCCACTGCACACAGACTTTATGGAGTTAATGTATGAAAAAGCTTACTTCATTTAGAAAGCTCACTAATTGGTCTACCGTTAAATAATCAGTTTTGTCTCCATTGCTGAAAAGAAATTTATTAGAAAAAGTAAGTTTTTGTATATGATACTATAGTAGGTACGATTTACATGTTGACATTTGCTGATGATAATTCTAAACTTATTTTCTAACCCTGAAATAGTGGTGAATTCTTAAAATGGCCAGAGACTGTTTGTAAGGGTAAAAAAACCCAACAACAACAAAGGAAAGAAAACACTCCTGCTAGGTCACAGAAAACATCTACAATTCTACTTTAGCATCATCGAAAGACGTTATTTCAAAAACAACATGTAAGTCATCCATTTGTAATAACTGGAATGAATGAACTTTTCAACAACATATTAACATTCCAAACTGAATCTAGTTAGTTCACATAATGGGTTAATACCTAAAGGAGCAGGTTAAAATTGTAGGTAGTTAGTAAAGCCAATGCAAGGGGGGAAAAGTTCCAGGTGCTGCAACTAACTTACGTAAAAGTTTCTCAAAAACTGAGTGAACTTTTACACTGATAAACTAAGGGGTGAAAATGTAATGCTGACTAGATATTCCTAGATACTACCAACATACTATATTAAAATATTATGACAAAACTGCTTTAAAAATCTAAAAGGACAATAATATTTATATGATACTTTCTCATAAATAAAACTTACATTTTTTTAAAAAGATCTTCTATGTCCGTTCGGGGACAAATCTTTTGTGTCAGTTCATAGAACTTTTCATAAGTAAATGCTGCAGGCTCAATTTCATCATTCTGTGAAGAATAAAAGAGTGTCATTGATTGATATCATAGCACTGTTTTCTTCTGTGGAGGGTGAGATCTACAGGGTCATGAAGCAAGGTCATGATCACTTGGAATCCCAGGGCCTCCGTCTCTAATTCTTGCTGATAGAAGCCAGGAGGCCACCTTCCAGGCACGGCCAGGCTATCCTGCTAGAACACAGCACAGGTAAATGAGCATTTCTAGTTCTCATGCAGCCATGGTTCATGTGTACAAACATTTGGCTAAAGCTGAGCTTCTCTGGGAAACACCCCAAAGGACAAACAGAGAAACATTTCCTCTATCTCTCTTTGAGGGAGAAAAGTAAGTGATAAGAGTTTAGATATGTTGTCCTCCAAAGCTCATGTCAAAATCCAATCCCCAACATGGCACTACTGGAAGCTGTTCAGGTCTTGGGCAGGCAGATTCCCCATGAATAGATTAACGCCCTCTGGGGCGGGGGTGGGGGGCTGGTGGGGACTCTGAGTTCCTGTGAGAACTGGTTGTTTAAAGGAACATGACACCTCCCCTTTCTCTCTCTTGCTTCCTCTGGCCATATTATCTGCTTTTACCCGCAGGTTGGTCTTCCGTTTTTATGCCATGAGTAGAAGGAGCCTGAGGCCCATGCCAGATGCAGCTGTCCCAGAATCATGAGCCAAATAAACCCCTTTTCTTTATAAATTACCCAGTTTCACATATTCTTATAGCAACACAAAAACGGACTCATAAAGTAAGTGCCTGCCTAAAGGACGTGGAATAAATCAAGCCCAATGTTTATGATTATTTTGTGAATTTCCACAAGACCACATAAAGGGGCTTAGGATGTCCATATAAGATTTTGTTTTTCATACTGAAATTTATATTTCAAATAGGACTTGTTAAAGCAGGTACAGGCTTAAATCTTTCTTGCAGTCAACACATCAATTTTCATTGTTTTAAATCTGAAGGGCAAATGAACACAAATGTTCTGGGGAGAGAAGATTCATAAAATATTGCACAGGCATCTTAAAGAATTAAATTTATTAGTTAATTATTCGTGCTGACATTGTGCTTGGCTGGGGAACTGTTGACAGACTTCTCTAAGATAAGCTCCCTAAGCTCTGTAAAAGAGCAGCCTGGCTTTCATTTCCTTTTCTAGATAAAGTTGACAAAAATCATTTTGAAGTGAATTATTTGAATTTTAAAACACTTGGGTTAAAATGCCCAGAAAACAAAAGGAAGAAAGGAAGGAGAATGAACAGAAAATTAACTGTACTATCTGTCACTGAATCTAATTCTGAATCTAATTGAGATCAGTTTAAAATCAATAATCTAGTTTATTACATATGAAACCATAAATCAACAAAAGGGTTTTAGAAACACATGATTAAGTTAATGGATACCTTTCCACTGGGAAGACCTAATTCCTTGAGTGCTTGAAAGATCACCTTTTCTGTTTTCCCCGATGCAAAGGTTCTGGTAATGCTAGGGCCGAAAGGAAACAAAGAAAAATTCAAGTTATTGTCCAATCTGTTTTCTCTGCCACAAAGACCAAAGTAATATTGGGGATGGTGGGACTAGGGGAAAGAAGAAGAAAGGAGAATAAAATTAATTTTCATTTGTAGGTGTTTTTTTATTTTCCAAACTAGCTCCTCCAATGACCTTCTGGTTACCAGAGCTGGTTATGCTAGTGATTCTACTTGATTCTAAGACAAGTGGTTCCCTTCGGTGCTCTGAAAACAAGGGAATCTGTGGGGGGTGGAGGGAGGGAGATAAATGCTGTTAGACAAAAGCAATGATACATTTTGGTCCTACCAAATTACTTCCTTAGGAGAAAGGAATGTGGCAGGTGGGACAGTTGCTCTAGCATAAAACCTCATATTGACTCTATCAAGGCCTGGGGTAAATTAGGAGACCTGCAGAACTCAGCCCATGCCTGGGACTGCCCTTAATCTGGCTTTCACAATTCCTACAGTTGACATACCTTATCAGACAGGTTTTGTTTTTGCTTTCAAGGTAAGCACACTTGAGCCACTATGAAAAGTCAGCTGCTTCAATGATTAGGGACTTTATTATGAAAGTGGTAGGTTGGGTGGGGGGGGGTCAGGGGTAAAATTATCCAATGTTTCAACAGGATCTTGGCACTACTCTGAGACATGGTATTTTTGAAATGCCTTTTAACTGGTATGGGGAGCATCAAGGCCAGTCAAATGGATAACACCTATTAATAAGCATGTTTCCTGGTGTTCATAAAAGTAGGAAGGAGAGACTCCCCGTACAAATGCGTTGGTGACACTCAACATGAAAGCTATCTAGGAGAGGACTGAGTACCCTGGAACCCCATACTTGGCTCTCAGCCATGCCTTAGCCACCAAAGGAGACTTCATTCACTCCCTGATTGGAAGCCCAGATAATTTGTTGCCATGATAATTTAAACTATAAATCCAGAAGTCCGGCTTTGACTTGAAGATAGAGCTTACTTTTGTCTTTTGGCTTTGGAATACCTCCTCTGTAAGCACCAGATGATTTTTAACACCATCTCATGCCCGATCTTTTCATATATTCTGCCATTCCTGTTAAGTGGAAGGCAAGCTCCCAGTGTAAGCACTGACAGCCAGTTAATCTTGAGGAGTGGGAAAAAGCTCCACTACAGCTACAGAGTATGAATTCCCAAAATATTTTGGGAAGAAGGAACTTTAGGTAAATGAATTATTATGTGTTCATTCAAAGCTTTATTGTTTCGTGCTAAGTCCAAGAATACTTCAATAAGTACATTTTTAAGAGTTCATGAGATAATTGTATTCGAATACAAGGAGGCCTGTGAATTCTCTTTAACAAATTTTACAGCATGGCAGAGGACAAGTGTATGATGTCATGTAAACTGGTTAACAGGTTTCTAGTAGAGAAAGTGCTATGTCTTTATTTTCTCACTTCTCAAGAGTCCATGCACTTTTATACATTGAATTTGGATGAAATACAATTTATCTGATCTTTTTAATTTAGGGGAAAATAGCTATTCAGTGTGTCTTTTTTTTTTTTTAAAGTGTGTCTTAACATGAGAACTACAGACCCTGGGAGGATATGGGATATCTGGCATCTGTAAACAGGAGGAAAATCTTTGCATAGTGATCTCAGAGGTATCCCAGTTAACTCAAGCCGCTGTTAGGTTTGGACAGGCCTGGCATAATGGGATGAAAACTGATGGACATGTTCATAAATACAGCAGGTATGGAGCCTGAGCCCTTCTGGTGAAACAGTAAGAAGGGAAGAATGTATAGGAATAGAATCTTTTGGCTAGGTCTTGGCCAAGCGCAAAAAATAGGAATTAGAACCAGAATGTCTCAAGAGGCAGAGAGAGGGGAGAGGGGCTTCACTTTTCAGGCTGATCTTTTCATGAGGGGGCTTGGGCTGGGCAACCTCACCACAGACGTGCTCACCTCATTCTAAAACAGACCAAACCCAGAATAGAAAAATGCGAGCAAGGAAGTCAGACCATTTTCCTGGGGTGGTGTCTTTATTTCCTTTGTTCTAGGCACCTTTCAGAATCATTCTCCTCAGGCCTTAAAATGGATTTGCTCAGGGGTGGGGTGGGGTGTAGAGTGAAGGTGAATTCCTTGTTTCCAGCAGGATACCAGTTAACCAGGACCCTGAGAAAAACACACTTATCAAGGCTGGGGACATTTCAGACAACATCATGGAGGTGTTTCATGGGAACACGGAGTGTTTATAAAGGAACTGTGATTTATTCAACTTTTTATATATAGCCCCATACCCACAATGTTCAGCTTAGTGCTACATAGCCAACAGGTGCTCGATGAGTTTTTGTTGAATCAAAATAAACTGCCAACCCCTCCCCCCCAAAATGCTACATAAGCAAATACACTTGAGTTGTGTCCAGTCCTGTTAGTGTCCTTTTTAAATATTCCAGGGGACTTTGCAGGTGACGAAGACAGCAATGATCCTAGAAACAAAGGAAGTCCCACTCTTTGCTCGCCTGCACTGGGTCTACAATTGACCCAGCGGCTTTAACATCACCTTCTGAAACAGTCACAGAGGACTCCTGAGGTGAAGAAATGAGGCTCCTGCCCCAGTGGGATCCCACCCTCCTCAAAGGCTGCTGGGTCTTCAGGACATGGATGGATGATGTAGGAGTTGGGCTGCCATGGCCATACCTGGCCGTACACAGCCCAGCCGTATAGGGCTTTCAGCCTTCTATAACACAATCATCTCCTCAAATCCCTGCCTACAACCTTTGCCAGGCTACCCATTTTCCAGTTCTCTAGCCATTGGTCCCACCCCAGGTGACAAGGGCTGGGAGATGGCAAAAAGAAAGAGTGACTTTCAAAGCTTCAGTCTGAGTGGGAGGATAAACTGGGCATGAGTTCATAGGTGTGAGGGAAGGACAGACTGCATAAGATTATGTACATGCAAAGAAAAGAGAAGGGGGAGTAAGGAGTGAGACTTTCTTCATTTGTCATTCCTGCAACCTGCCCACCCCACCCCTGCTATTAAGTTTCAGGTTAATGCTAAAGAGCAGGGGCCATTCCCAAGCAATGTGATGACTATGAAGCCAGATCCCCTTTAACTTTATGCAAACTATACTAACAGTTTCCATTTTTAAATCTCCAGAATGAGAGTGATGGAACAACATTTTAAAAGTGTTTACTCTTCGTATCCATTAAAACATTCTGAACAATTTCCACCTAACCCTTGGCAGCTCATCCACCAAAAGAGTTATCTGGTTTTGGGGGGTTCGTATCTATTCTCCATCAACTCTAACAAACTACCCCCAAATCATAGATGTCTTGTTTCAAACACCTGTTAATACTTGCAAGCACCAAAGAGTTCAGGTCAAAGGGAACTAAAGATGACAAAATATCTAGGCTATTTCTATAAAAAAAAGCTGGCAGTACTTTTGTATGCGAACATGCTGGATAAAGACCACTGGAATCAGAAAAGGCTTTGAAGGCTGTATGACAATGTGTCGATTAGTGGGATCCACACAAATGAAGCCAGAACTGTTAGGTAGAAGTGCCTGGATCACAATCTATGTGCTTCTACTTTGTCTATTCCCTGGATCTTAATCTTAGTAGCAAAAGCAGGACAATAAGGCATGTAAAAACAGGTCCAATTTACATTTCTGT